CAACTTGTTAAGATGTTTTCAAAGAATATGTTTCATTTTAAACAAATAATAATTAGGAATGTTTATGCTTAAAATATAATGTCAAGATATGTTCAAAATTATACACAATATTAGCCATTATTTTTATTATTTAAAAATAATAAAACAATAAAGTTAAGATACTGTAAATTTCTCCTTTTAAAGATGTTTACAGAAAACCAAACAACAATCAATTGTTTGATGTGCACACAACCTATAGGTGAGCAAATAGACACCACTACTATACATGCACATGCATGTAGAGAGCGAACGTACAGTACACATTCAAAAGTATAAGACGTCTTGTTAATTATCTAGAAGGAATATCACATTCCAGCCCAATGCACACAGGCATGTTCAAAACTATTCTCTACACTGTCACCCAGGTGAGAATTAAACATTTGTTCTGGGTCAACTTTGGACTGGGTCTACTTAAAACTCCACTGTGGTTACACTTGCGTACATATACATAAATGCATATTGATGTTACGTGACTTCGGATCAAACCAAGTTAACCTTTGACCTCAGTGCTACAGCATACTGCCTCAGTGCCCAAGGGATCAGTGTAACCCTTTCCAGACCCCATAACACTCAGAAAGAGAATCACAGCAAGCATAAATTTAGGTGCTTCGATACTGGTGATGCTGGTCCTGTGCATTTTGGTAATTTTCCAAACATATTAATACATATTTTTTTATAATAAACTTGCATTTTTTAATTGTTTTTTTTAAACTAATCATTATATTTTGTTTGGATTGAATGAAAGGTGTGAGATGAAACTACAGTCCTGTATAAAGAGACTCAGTTGAAACATCAATATGGATCAATATTTCTTCTGACATATATCTGCACTAGGGCATTTGAGAGCCTCGGTCACACACTTATCAACATTGCCACCCGTCTCAAATCTAGCCGCTCATCAGTTATAAGACTGAATATCACTTTCCCAAATTATCAAGCTTGCAGTCTGCCATTTTCACTCAACAGGCTCAGTGGAGCTACTACAGAGAGAAATCTGAATGAACCTCTGTGAAAAATAGGTCATGCACGTCTAGGACAAAGGAGACAGGATGTAATGAGCAGCTAGAACAATATCGTCTGCTGGAGTGACAAGGCAGCCAAAGCACAAAACTTTTGTGTAAATGCTAAATGAAAACAGCAGGATCAAGGTCACCAGAACAGAAAATGCATGAGAAACAAATAAAAGATGAGTAATGGTAAAACAATTCGGTCTTGTGCTTATTTAGTGCAGGGGTTTTCAAATTGTGCAGTATAAAAAGTTAGATTTTCTCAGTAGCAATTGACAATAAGAGTAGGAATTATAATATTTAAGAACCTTCACTAATAATACTACATTATATAAAGGAATAGTTCACCCAAAAATTTAAATGTACTCACCTTCAGGCCATCCGAGATGTAGATGAGTTTGTTTCTTGATTGGAATAGATTTGGAGAAATGTAGCATTACATCGCTTGCTCAACAATGGATCCTCTGTAGTGAATGGGTGCCGTCAGAATGAGAGTTCAAACAGCTGATGAAAACATCACAATAATCCACAAGTAGTTCACACAACTCCAGTCCATCAATTAATGTCTTGTGAAGCGAAAAGCTGCATGTTTATAAGAAACAAATCCATCATTAAGATGTTTTTAAATTTCAAACCGCTATCCATAATATTGCTTTCTCCAGATCTCTGAATCTGTTCTAATGAAGAAACAAACTCATCAATATCTTGGATGGCCAGAGGGTGAGTACATTTTCAGCAAATTTGTATTTTTGGGTGCACATTTGAAGGATCATTAGTTAGAAATTACATAATAGTTGAAATGAGACTTATACAAGAAAGAGAAATGAGACTTACAAGGCGATATAAAACTGATACGGTGAACAGGTCAAACCTGTTACTACTTCATGGATTTTCATCCATTTTACAAATCATGCTGCTCTCTAGAATAATTGATTCTGGTTGGTCGATAGCAGCATCCTGCAGTCCAATATTTTTGTATAATGACCACTAGTATCACATCTAGTTCATAAATAGTGCTAGTGATTCACTTGTATCACTTTGCAGTATCTTCTCAGTTAATAACAAAATCAAATTAATATTTCATGTCCATTTATTTATTTAGGTAAATAGGTTGTGATCAGCTTATGCACTGTAATGCACTGGCTGACCCTTAATAAAAATACGTTTCACTCACTCTAAGAAAATGTATTGCTCATATTGCTTGTGTTTACAATGGATAATATAATGGATCATTGTTTTTTAGTTAATTTATTTTTATCAAAGGTCAGTGTACTACGTTGCATATTGTAAGATAGAGCTGACTGACTGAACATCAGACGCAAATAAGAGATTTAAAAACAAAAATTGTTGGATAATCTTAAATAAGTCATATAACTGCAGGTGCTGTATCTATGCTGAGACTCTCAGTTATATTTTAGAGCCTGTTATAAGGATTCCTTTGTAGCAGCAGAGCATAAACATGTTTTTAGGAGACTGCTGAGTCACTGGTCGAATCCATTGCAGAATCGTGCTCCCCCTCCCTTCAATGGCTCTCCTCCTCACTCTCTCACTTTCTTCTTCTCTCTGGACTGTGTTCACTCCCTCCATCCCCCTCTCTCATTCCCATCTACACCCACCCGCTCCCGCCCCAACTTTTTCTGTCTCTTTATCTCTGTCAGCACCCCCTGCCCAGTTTCCTCTGTGCTCTCTCTCTTGCTCTCTTTCACTCTCCTCTCTCTGGTTTAATTAAGGGGTAAATGAGTCTGTGAGTGACGTGTCAGAGAGCAAGGTAGTCACAAAGAGAGTTGATAATGCAACTACTAATTCTCTCCTGCTGCTTCTGTTTCAAAGGTGCAAAAACAGCAGCAGCAAAGTCAAACGCTAAAGATTTAAAAAAGGCTTCAAAGAGTTTTTTTTAAAGTTTCACTTTAATCTCAACATTACAAAAAAGAGGCAACTGAGAGGGAAAGAAATCTGCAAGAACTGCTTTGTTTCAAGTTAAGTTAAATTTCATGAGAAGCAACTGTCTGTGATGTTCACTATAAATATATTTTAAGAGAAAATAACTCAAGATTTGTTGGGAGCTACTTGTGTATTTAGTTATTTTCAGCATTACTCCGGTTGAAAATCACAGATTCAATTATTAATAATAATATTACTAATCTTTTTTTTTCTCAAATTTACCATGAAATCATCACAAAACATTATTTATGGTACTAACACTTTCTCACTCCACCACTAATAGCATATTTACTGAAACTATGGCTATTAAAGTGGTTGTGACGAGAGGGGCGGGGCCGAGAGCCGTGGGAACGGAGCGAGGCCGGTGGAGTAAATGCTAACGCACGACACCTGCGCCACTCACCGGTCTCGAGTCTCACGGAGGAGCTCCGGAAGGATAAAGGAGGAGTGACGTGATGGTGTATAAAATTGATTTTAAGATAAAAAATTAGACGACAAAGAATTAACTTGACAGAGCTCAAACTCAAAACTGTCTGTCCTTACCCCCAGGTACGGCGCGGCCGCCGTGATCGGCTCCCCCGGGCTGCCGCTTTACTTTCATTTTGTGTTTGTTTATTTTATTAAAGTTTTAAATGTTCGCCGGTTCCCGCCTCCTTCTTCCCGACCTACAAACGTTTGTTACAGTGGTGTATCACATAAAACTAAAGTTATATAGTTGAGATTATTTATTAAACATGCAAAATATCTCTTATCTTGAGGCCTCATGGAATGTGCATGAAATATGCATGGTGGCATAAACATAAAATTTTAATTAATTTTGAACACTAAAAATCTGCAATCTGACTTCTATGCTGCACACAAAATTTCTATGCACACTGAAATGCCGTAATATAATGTTACACTCTCCACAGTATAGGTATGAATGGATGTCAATGGAAAGACAAGTGTAGTGTGACCGGCCCTTTATTGCAGGAGCACCTAGTTCAGCTTTTGCAAGTCATTCTTCCAGTTTTTAGGTGTTCTTGCTGTAGCAGTGTGTCCTGCTGGTTTTGCAGGGGGTTTTTTTATTTTTATTTTGTTCTCTAGAGGGGTTTTCCTAATAAGCGTGTTTAGTCATTGTCACATGGCTTCCTGACATAACAAGTCAGTTCAACCTCATGCTGAGGTTAAGTAAAATAGTTTTTACCTCATTGCATGTTACTCTCTAAACTGAGCAAAATAAGGATACACTCTCAAAAATAGAGGTGCTTCAAAGGGTTCTTCACAGCGATGCCATAACCATTTTTGGTTCCATAAAGAGCCGTTCAGTCAAAGGTTCCTTAAAAAAAAATCTCTTTCTTACCTTTTTATCATCTGAAGAGCCGTCTTTCACTACAAAGAACCTTTTGTGAAACAGAAAGGTTCTTCAGATGTTAAAGGTTCTTTATGGAACCATTTAGACAAAAAAGGTTATTCTATGGCATCCTGAAGCACCTTTATTTTTAAGAGTGTAAGTGTGAAAATTCCTTTCCTGATTGGCTTACAAGATCTGCCATTTGACCAATGGCTGAGAGTATCCTCTGTCTCTGGTGCTTGCAGTGCTGACATGCAGTAGAATGTGCAAATATTTTAATCTTAGCAGTCTGCTTAACATATTTAGGATTTTTTATTCATATTTTTCAGGTTCATATTTAAGGTTAACAAATAAACCTTAAATAAAATATGCTAAATTTAACAAAAATAAAAATTCACCTTCTCTACTCTATGTGAGAGAAAATGCCACACATTGAGAAGGTATAATATGTTCCCATTGTACATTGTACAATTGTTTCACTTTCATTTTTGCTTTTCCCAACAGACAAAAAAGTTCTGGAATACTCGGACCAAATTAGATTGGACGAGTTTTGTTATTCTTGTCAACTCAACATTCACATGCTGCTGCCAAACAATGTTTCACGGCAGGTGCTAAATTTGATTTGGGCCTCTCCTCCCCGACAGATTTCTATTAAACGTCGCTGACGTCAAAGCGGACGCCATCTTTGTCTAGGGCAGAGCAGCTCTCCATTGAAGAAGAACACGCGCATTGCCGTTGCAGCAGCTCAGTCCCTACAGAAAGGGGTTGATAGTGCTTTGCTGTTGAAATTCGCAGACAGACACTTCATTACTGACGGTCGTCCACCGACTACGGGATCAGGTAAGCTTTATTTCAAGGAGATGAGGAAAAGGATTTGATGCGATTGTTTTTCGTCTTTCTTTTAAATTTGTTTGGACAAAAAAGTGGTTGCCTTGAAGTCGTAGCGCAGGCAAGAGCAACAGTGAATGTTTTTGTCAAAATGCAGTGCGAAAACTGGCTAATTAAAAGAAATCCGTAACCTTTCGTTTTGCGTATCCGTTTGAATTTAAGCTTGATGCACTGTTCGGAGGATGTCAGATTTTAAGGACAATCTTATGTGGTTAATACGCATTTAATCGTGTGTTGGATGCGGCACGATGTGGGCGGTTTCTGCGTTTCAGCACCCTGGACAGAGACTGCGTTTGCTCCACTGCGTGTCTGTCTTGAATTCACATCCAGCCCCTGCAGCTAAATTTGATTTGGGCCTCTCCTCCCCGACAGATTTCTATTAAACGTCGCTGACGTCAAAGCGGACGCCATCTTTGTCTAGGGCAGAGCAGCTCTCCATTGAAGAAGAACACGCGCATTGCCGTTGCAGCAGCTCAGTCCCTACAGAAAGGGGTTGATAGTGCTTTGCTGTTGAAATTCGCAGACAGACACTTCATTACTGACGGTCGTCCACCGACTACGGGATCAGGTAAGCTTTATTTCAAGGAGATGAGGAAAAGGATTTGATGCGATTGTTTTTCGTCTTTCTTTTAAATTTGTTTGGACAAAAAAGTGGTTGCCTTGAAGTCGTAGCGCAGGCAAGAGCAACAGTGAATGTTTTTGTCAAAATGCAGTGCGAAAACTGGCTAATTAAAAGAAATCCGTAACCTTTCGTTTTGCGTATCCGTTTGAATTTAAGCTTGATGCACTGTTCGGAGGATGTCAGATTTTAAGGACAATCTTATGTGGTTAATACGCATTTAATCGTGTGTTGGATGCGGCACGATGTGGGCGGTTTCTGCGTTTCAGCACCCTGGACAGAGACTGCGTTTGCTCCACTGCGTGTCTGTCTTGAATTCACATCCAGCCCCTGCAGCTGAATTACCATTATATGTCTGGCAAAGTTTTGCGCAGAGGCGCCGTCTAAATATTGGTTGATTTTACCAGATGTTTAAGAGACACCGACAGGTTTTTACAAAAGACCCTGTTGACGTTACAGCATCAGGCCATTAATCACTGAAATGACAGTGAAGACGAACGCCTAGTTGTTTTATTTTGCAGCAGCATTTTATAACCAAATCGGCTCCTGTTGCTTTGCCTGCCAGATTCATTGTTGTCTCTGAATATAAATAATAAAGGTTCGATGGCATCGGGTGAGGATTTATCTAAAGTGATCAGCGATTGATAGTGGGGGAGGTCAATATGGCAAACTGCGACAGAGTGGTCGAGAATTAATGTGCGTGTTGCAGAGAAAGCAGTGTGGGGAGAGTCAGATGGGATGATGCAGAGATCAAACTTATTTAATGGAACCGATATATTCATTGTCTGCAGACGTTTATTTGGACCAAATAATCTCAACCTTGGCGTATGTATGTGATGAGGCAGCGGCAATTATCAGTGCGTGTCTTCCTGGTGGTAGACGATGGGCAGGGTCTTGAGCAAAGACGAGCGGGGGCGGATGCTGGAGATACCCTCACTGACAATGATACTTTGGGCTCACGTATGACTAGGGATGGAAATCATAGAAGAATTGCACGGTTCCATAAACGATTCTTAACGAAAAAAAGACGCGTGTTGCCAAATAATTAGATCATTTCAGACTTTTGCAGACTTTTTAGAGGCAGCGTAATGCCATACAATAATTGTCCTTAATACAATTTTTTTTTTTTACATATTTCATTCATTAATGTATTTTTTTTTTACATAGGCTATATATAATACCACAGACTACAACTAAACTCATAATGTGAAGTTACACGTTGTCGTATGAACAACCAGTCAGTAACTAGCCTACACTGATTTAAGTCTCACGAGACTTAACATAACAACATAACACAGTAACAGTTCTTTTGTTTAATTGCCAGTCATACATGACGAAAGAAATAACTTCCTGTTCAGAAACAGTTACAACTGATTTGTAATTTGAGTCACAAAGAACTGACTCATGAGAGTCAGACATGTCGCGCTGTATGGTGTTGAGTCACTAAAAAGAACCGACTCACATGAATCATTCGATCGGGAATCGATCTACACTCGTCACCGCTGTATGTTGTTGAATCACTAAAAAGAACCGACTCGTATTGGTTCGGGAATCAATCTACACTTGTACGTTTTGTTTCGCTAAAAAGAACCGCCTCACAAAAGTCATTCGTAATCGCTCTACATTCAGCAGCAGTGTTGAATAACACTGCCAGAGCATTTTAGTTTTATAACCACACTGGCGTCTGAGAGCCGTTAACGGAACAGAATGTGACGAAAATAAAAATCGAACGGCTCTTCGTTCCAAACCCTGTGCGATGCAGATTTAACAACGCTCCCAAACCCAAAGCCATTTTTGTTTTATGACACATCCTCGCGTGTAAAACACATTCTGGCTCACAGAATGTACTGATTGCACAATAGTATTATCGCGTAAAATCCCTACATTAACCGGATGCCGGATGTAACAACCCGAAATATCATCTAATCATCCAGTCAGATAGTGCAGTGTGACTTGGGCATGTCAGGATACTGCAGAAGAGTTTTTTTTTCTGTCACGTGCCTTCATCTTGCATCTGCAAATGCTCTAAAGCCACGGTATTGTTTCTCATCACGACTGTTTTTGGCCATCCTTCTGTTGTTGTAAGGTTAGTAAATGCGCATGCTGTTCCTGACGCATATAGAGCAACGAAAATGATACTTTACTACAATGAGCGGCATTGGGTTTCGCTGGTTCCGGTGTTGTGCCGAATTCTGCACCCCTGCCAGATTATGCACCCCCTCGTTGAAATCGCTACCTGATTGCCTAATCCCAACCCCACCCCTAATCCTAACCCCTCCCCCACACCTAACCCTAAACCTACCAATACTAGGGGGTGCATAATCTGGCAGGGTGCAAATTTCGGCACTACACCTGTCTGTATTTGTCTTGCGGCGGTCGTGAGAGACAGGTTGGCACGCTTCTGTTGTTGAATCTGATGGTTTAATGCGGTTTATTATGGCTTGACTGCAGAGCGCAGGGCGGCAGGGATGTTCCCTGAATAAATGGTGACTCACGCGATGCCCATTGCTACTTAATATTATAAACATACCTGATCTTAATTAATACATTCTATAACATGTAATGTTAATACAATTTAGTAGTCCATATATTTAACATAAAAGATACAGTGATTTATCCATATACTTATGGATTGGCTTGTTTATGCAAGGATAAACAATTGTACCCAAAGTCTAAATTATAGGTTCAGGTTTATTATATGTATTTTTGAGCAGCACATGTTCACAGATTCCAGTTTTAATAAATGGCTGAGCTCAGCCAGGAGTGATTCACTTAAATAAATCCTACAAACCAATTAATATGTCATCTGGAAATTGTTTCATCAAATCTTGCCACTGAGACAGCGAAGTGCTTTATTATGGTTGCTTCGATGTCTTAATTAATGACTGTATCAATGAAATGTTGTGATAGATATAATGAAAAAAGAAAACCAAAAGCTTTACCAGTAACCTGTTAAGGGAAACTGCAATGTTATTGTCAGTTAACTATCACCATAAAGTCCTTGATTTCATATTCCTAATTACATATAGCCTTTTAACACAAAATTGTTTTAGATTAAAGCACCAGCTGGGTCAAAAATTTGAACTGATTTGCTATTCCCTAAATTAAAAAGAGCAGCCAGTCTTTAATAGCAACCAATAACATGGGCCGAAGTACAAAATGGCTTCCGGATATCTCTGCGACAGTCCTGCACAAGTGCACTTGGTTGAACACTCACAGATTGAAAATATGGTCAAATGCGTCACAAGAGCATAAAAGGCAGAAGACAGCAATATATGAAAAGATGAGCAATGGGAAGAGGGGGGATAATGTTGGTAGAGAAGAAAACTAGGCAGATAAGGGACGTCAGAAGAGGGCGGCTGAGAATGAGAGGAGAAAAGACAAGATACCCCGAATAATTAGCTTGTGTGATGCATAATGACTGCAGAAAGAAGCCCCCTCATGGCAAACATCTCAGCCTGTAAGCTCTGCCCACACATGTGGGTTTCCCCTCCACCATCTGCAAATATCAATAGTGCTGGAGGTTTCTGAGGCGGATAGAGAAGCATCATAAATCAGCATAAGGACTGACGCTGTCCTCTCTCTGTGAACACAATTTTCGAGAGGTCACAGTGGTTAATAAGTGCAGTCTTAAATTTACTGAATAAAAGTGAGATTAAGCAAAGGATTAAGAGCTAGCTGATGTAATTTACTGTAGTTTGTACTTGCCACATAATACTGAAAGAACTGAAGCAATGCGGTGTGTACTGCATTTGACATCTAGTTTATGAAAATGTTAATATAAGACCTTATATTTGTGGTTGTTACAATGTGGAAATAGTATGCTATCATGGGTAATGCAGTTGTTTAAAATATGTCTGGATTAATGCATGATGAATATTACTTTTCTTACCTGTGCCATTTGTCTTTGGTAGGCATTATCAGATGGACTTGTGAAATTTCATTTTATGCATTTGGCTGCTTTTGCAAGCTGTTAGTGCGAGCA